TTCGTCGTCGTCGTGCTCCAGCCCCTCGCCCTAGCCAGATTTCTGATTTGTCGGTCAACCGGCGCCCGGGCGGTGCCCAGCGGGTCTGGTGGGGGGAGGGGGGCCCCATGTTGAACAGCCCCTGTCCCTCCTTGGTGGACCGCAGGGCGCGGGGCACGGGCCCTCGGGCTCATGGAGCCAGCGTCGAGGGTCACGAGGATCATACCGCAGGGCCTCGGCAGGGCGTCCGCAGGTCCGGCCGAGGGTTCACAAGGACCGCGTCAGGGGCACGAAGGGTCCGGCGTTGCAGCAACCTCGGGGCCCACTTGGCCACCACCAGGACCGCGTCGGCAGCGGGGTTCGCGGGGTCAGGCCGTGAAGGTCGAGTCCTTGTGATTCTTCCGTATCACGGTGGCGTGTTGATCAGACCCCTTATTACCGGCCGGGCCCCTTCCCCCACCAGGGCCGCCCCCACCAGCCCCCACCAGCCCCCACTACGCGGCGCTGCGGCGGGACGCTGCAGGGCCACCCCGGGTGGGGGCGGTGGGGTGGGGGTGGCCCTGGTGGCCCAGGCCGCCGCGACGCCGAGGAGCCTTGTGCCTGTCTCGGCGCAGTGCTTGGCCAGGCGTGCCAGCGGGAGGTCGTACACTGTACAGGCTTTGCAGGCCGTACAGGGCCATGCGGGGCACAGGGTCCCCGTCGCGCGGCCCAGCGCTGCCTCGGCCCGCCCCTGCCCGCCGCACGCCGACCGAACGCCACTGAACGGTCACTCTCTGCCCACCTCTCAACTCGCCGGACTAGGACGCCCAGTGTCACGCAGTGTCACGGGCCCCCGCTGCTCAACATGAACTTCATAGGTAACGTTACGCGCTGGAATCGTGTCACGCTGCTCGCGCTCCGCACTTCCGGGAAGTGTGACAACGGCGCCTCGGGCCGCGGCGCTGCAGTGCCGTGGTGTCGTCAGCGAGGCGGCGCCGCGGCGACGCTCCGGGAAATCGCGTCGCATTTGCGGGGCAGCGCGAGACGCCGAGTGACACGCCGTGCGACACGCCCCGCGACACGCGTGTGTCATTTGCGGTGCACGACGTCGACGTCGTGCTGACAAAGTCGTCCCGGAAATGGCGGTCGTCTGGCAGGGTAGCGTGCGCGGTGGGGCGGGGCGGCGTGTGGCACTGGCACACAGTGTGCGGCAGCATCAGGCAGGTGCTGTTGCAAACCCACGGCCACGTGTCTCCCCCACCCCTCAGCCGCCCCCTCCACCCCGATCGGCAAGCCCCAGAAGCGCTTCCGGTGAGACCAGGGCGTCGGGGCCCGGGGGCGGCCCGGGGGCGGCCCGGGGGCGGGCGGCCTGCACCCGGTGCAGCGCCGCGCTGGGCTGGGGCGGCTGGGCCCTCTAGGGCTGTGGGGCCGCCTAGGGCCGCCTAGGGCCCCCTAGGGCCGCCGGGCCCTCTAGCCAAGGCCGCGGCGAGCACGTAGCGGTGCGGCGCGAGAATGCCGCTGCGGGCGTTGGGCCTGTAGGGCCTGCTGGGCCTGAAAGGCATGCGGGGCATGCAGGGCTGCGAGCCGCGTGATGCTTCCGCCAGAATTAGCGGTCCACTTCCGCCTGCTCGCCATGCCCCTGGCCATGGCCCTGGCCATGCCCGCCGCTCCAGCAGACCCACGCGCACTATCAGCGACAGCCATCTGGATTTGATGCAGCCTTTTCAATTTGGCCATGGCTTTGACGGCATGCGACCTGCATGGACGGGTGTGCCATCACGGCCAGGGCCTCTGGCTCGGCCTGGGCCATCGAGCCTCAATGCGAGGTCATCTGTTGCCTGACAGCCACTAGTGCCGTGTCGGTTGTCCAGAATGGGCAGGGGGAGGGGGGAGAGGGGGTGGGGGTGAAGAGGGCCGCCCTGATTGGAACGATATGGCTTTTTAATCCGTTGCCATTGTTTGTCCGCCCCGCCGATGGAGGCCACGCGTGCAAAGCGACCTGCACCGCCATTACCAAACAGCTCTCTCTCTCTCTCTCCAATACAGAAAGAGAGGGATTAGCGAGTGGATGAGGATATTCGCCACCGGCAGCCAGCCAGAGCATTGCGGAAATTCGGGTCCATATACTACTGCCGCCCCCCCCCCTAAAAAATGTAAAAAGTAAATTATTTTTTCGTCAGCTTTTTTTTGGCGCGGTCCTTTGGGAGGCGGCGACAAGGAAATGAGCGGGGCGGCGACGCTGCGCGAGTGTGATATGGGGCGCCTCGGCGACGCGATGGCCTCGACGTCCTCGCCGAGCGATGCACACCCCTCCGCCCAAACCTTGTTACGCACGCCCCCGCGCCGCCGCCCCAGACCGCGCCGCCCCGGACCGCGCCGCCCCGGCCAGGGCCAGCCTGACCCCGCGCACGCCGCTCAAGCTTTGCGAGACGGAAAATGACTCCTCATTGCACCGGCATGGCACGGCACGGCACGCCACGCCACGCCACGCCTGGGCAAGACGAAGTGCAGTGGGGTGGAAAGGGGCGGCGTCACCCGTGCCGTTGTGCAGTATGCTGAGTGTGCGGCGCTGGGGCTGCTGGTGGCGGCCGTGGCTGAGAGCGTGGTTGGCACAGCTGCTTCAACTCTGTGTCTCGGGGTCCTATTGTAGTGAGAAGTTTTGTTTGTTTGTTTTTTACATTGTTGGTTCCCCTCCCTTAATTATATGGAAAATCAAATATAAACTCGCTGCTCCTAAAAACACCGTGCTGACAGTTCGTTCGTTAATTTTTTCCCCTTGAAATGAAAGAAAAGACATGAGTAGCAACTCACTAGCAGGCGGAAGTCACTTCAGCGACCTGCCTTCCTCCGGGCGACCCCGTTGTCAAGTTGCTACTCCCTTGGAATCGTTAGCGAAGGGAAAATTAGGCGCACAGTACAACCCCCCCCCCCTCCACCTCCTAGCCCCCCCCCCCCCCCCCCCCCGCTGCCGTGCTGCTTCTAGAGGGTGATGGAGTAGAGAGCACTCACCGGTCGCCCTCGCGCAGGCTCCCCTCCCCCCCTGACTTTTTGTTCCTCTATGCGACCGCGACTACACTAGCCTCGAGCCAAGGACTAGCACATGTGTCTCCACCACGTGGACAGGTAAAACAGAAACAAGAGAAACTCGTGGCATTTGTTTTGTTTCTCTCTTTTTTTTTATTCCACCCCGGCCATTGTGTTTGGCCCCCGTTTTCCGACGGCGTTGTTGATAAGCTCTCGCTTACGTCGATCTCGTCGCGAGTTCCCTGCGGTGGCGGGATGAATATGTGAGCGAGCGGGGCGGGAGGGGGAGGGGTTGAAGTGAGGCAGGAAGCCGTACAAAGCCCGTCTTGTTCGGGGAGGGGGTAAATGAGGGAGGCCGGGGGGTTCCGTGCATTGTGCGCGGTGCGGCGTGGTGCGTCCTCCGTGGACAGCGGGCTAGGACAGCGGGCTGCTGGGCATTGAGTAGGGGCTCCTCTGTGCTCGGGGTTTGCAAGCGATCCAATCTAAGGCACCCGCCGCCCCGGGCCGCCCTGGGCCGCGTGGCGCGCAGCCGCATACCGACGGCGGACCTTGGCACCCCGTCGACGACGATCACATGGTGCATTCGGGTGCAGCCCCCCCCCCCCCCCCCGCGTTATATGTGCGGCCGCCTTCGTGACAAGGGCAGCGCGCCGAGCTGGAACGCTGCCACGACAAATCTTTGTCTTTTGCACTTTTCAAAAAGCGCAACAAAAGGCGTGGCCCCGGAAAAAAGAGAGGGCTGAGAGCAAAATGTCGGCTCTTGGAACGGCACCAGGACCGACGAGGGCGGAGCGGCACGGCGGAAACGCTCTACGGTAGGCGCCTGCGCTCCGACGGGTAGGCAACCCGAACACTCGGGCGTGGAGCGGGCCGGCCTGCCGCAGGGCGTTTTGCTGAAAGGACCTTGCACTGACGCGCCATGGCCGCCACGGCAGGGGGGCGGACACGCTGGCAACGCTGCACCGCCGCGCCTCCTTCCGCTCGCGTGATCCGATTAGATATATTGAGCTGCGCCCCGCGGCCGCCGCCCCGCACGGCCCACCTTCCAGCAGACTCGTCCTCCGTTCCCGCTCCTCAAAAATGCAACTGCACTTTGTTTCGCACTTCTTTTGCGACATCGTTTTTGTTCCCTTTCCGCATCGAGCGCAGCGAGCGACTGCGGAACGAGCGCTCTCTTCTTGTGGGAACGGGGCGCCAGGCCGCTGGCTCCTTTCTGGCCATTCTGGAGAAGCGGGGACCTGGGCGCTCCGCTCGGCCACAGACAGCCAAGCCACTTTTCACAGACCCCCCGAACACCTGCGCAGTGCACTTGTACCTGCACAAGAGTCTCCCTCTCCTCAACTCCTCCCTCTTCTCCTCTTTTACTATTGGCACTTCCATGGTTCCACGGCCCCTTCCCGCCGCGTCCTCCAGTCGCTGCGGTCCTAATGAATTCGATTTCGGACCCTATTGTCGACGCGCAGAATGGCAAAATTGAGTGAGCCGAGTAAGTGAGTTCCCCAGCCAGCCTCGACCCTGTCATGGTGTGACGCCGTGCATCTTGTAGCGTCTCCGTTTTGCAAAGCCACGTCGCCATTTAGTGCCTTAAGGCTGCACTGCGAATGGCCCCATGACGCCTCGAGACAGACAGCCAGGCGTGAATGGCCCGAGGCGCAGGTGCAGGGATCGGCGGGCGCGGCGAGGCGCCCACTTCCGTACAGTCGGTGCGAAAAGCTTCCGAGAGTGAAACCCTTAGAAAGCCATCGCTTCCCCTTGAATAGCTGTAGCCGAGCGCCGCCTGCCTGGGTGCGTCCCAGTCCCTGCTCGGACCCCGCCCTCCGCGCCGGCTCAGGCCCCGAACACGCTCGCCCTAGTGCACCTTTGGTTAGACACCGCCGAGTGTCTTAGCAGTTCAGAGACGTGCCGACGCGACGGACCATTCATTTCATTCCCTTCCGCTCATTCCTTGGCAACCTTTCAAACCAGAGGCGCATTGTCTTGTTGTTTTCTCGCTCACGCTTTCCGTTTGCGCGTTGCAGGTGCCGTTGGTGGTGACGACGGCGATGGCGACGACAAGGAAAAGGAAGAGGAGGCCGAAAGGGAACGGCAAGAGGCCATCCGGGAGGCGGAAGAGCGGCGCAAGGAGAAGCACCGCAAGATGGAGGAGGAGCGAGAGAAGATGAGACAGGAGATCCGTGACAAGGTGAGCAAGGGCAGGGCCTAGACGTAGCGGGACGCGGACTTGCATGCGTGTACGTGTGGGAGAGAGGCGGGACAGAGTAGAATGGGGTGGGCCTTGGGGTGGGCCGCGAGGGATAATGTCGTTTCACAGGATCCGTTTCCGCTCGTTTTGAAAACGTTTCTAGTTGTGCAAAGTTGGTTTCCGCTTTGTTCAACCAACGAGGTGGTCTGCAGGTGACCACCAACATCAACGTCAAACCCCTCTTTGGGTCAAATTGACTCTAGTAGGGAGTCTCCAATTGAAGCGACTCCCTAATGGAGTCAGATTGACCCCGAGTTGGGCCTCAGCGCGCGGCGACACTCCAGGAAGTGCGGCGAGAGGGAGAGAGTGAGAAAATGAGAAAGGCTGTCGCCATGTTTATTTGGCGAAGAAACAGAATGTGTCGTCTAAAGTTTCTTTTTAAGTCTCGAAATGCCGCCCCTTGCAAAGCAAGATAGCATGAATCCCTTGCTTTGATGACTGTTAATAAAAATTGGATACGCTTTGTGTGAATGAAGAGCAGTAGTAGTTGCGTTTTCCTATATCTGCATGTGTGCCTGAAGTATGAACCCGTTGCTTGGGTTTAAGTAGCAGAAGGGCCAAATATCTAGCCGTCGCATAGAATTGTTTAGACTTTGAACGACTAGAAAAATAAGGTAGAAAATTTACTGCTACGTTGCACGTACCCTTATTTGAACTGACTTTTGTATGAACAAGAACGATGTGCCTTGTGGACACCAAACAGAAAAAAACAGTTTTTATAGTGCTTCTGTATTTTAACGTTTTCATTTCCGTGTTGCAGTACAACATCAAGAAGAAAGAGGAGGTCCAGGAGGCTCCTCCACCGGAGCCCGACAACCCCTTGATGCGCAAAAAGAAGACCCCCGAAGAGCTGGCGCGTGAAGCAGAGGCTGAGGACCAAGATGACTTCACTAGTGAGTCACAGCCCCGCCAGGGCCGCGGCAGTAAGATCCACACGATAATAATTCTCTCTCATTCTATCTCTCATTCTATCTCTGAGTAAATGTATATATATATATATATCTATATATCCTTCTATATATCTATCGGTTGCTATCCTTCAGGGTCATTGTGGCACAGTGTATCGGTTTTGATGAGGTGCAAGGTCACTAGCCTTCATTCAAATCGACTTCGTCACGCAATGATCCGTCTTCTGTTTTCTGTCTAGATGTTGGGTGTTCTATCTATCCTCGGTGTGTCTGTGTTCTGGGCGGGTCTATCCGTCTCAGTAGAACTAACCCGTGAAATGCACTAACAAGTTCAGATTACTTGCCTACATTTAACAATTCAAAAACCCTATGTGCAAAAAAAACAAACCAATTAAAAAAAACAGTTTTTAGTTTGTCAATATTACCCAAAAAAGTTGATAATACAAATGGTCTTCAGCATCTTGATGCACCTGCGTTGTTCAATTCTTGGCAAGTATTTCGGGCAACTGCGACAAATGCATACTTTATTTTTGAGGAAATTTTGTCATCACACTTAGAACACAACATCCGCATATACAGAAAAGACAGATACATGTTTCTTGAATCCATTGAGAGTGAGAGAGAGAGCTGTCTCCCATTTGAAGGAATAAAAAGGTGACAGAATTATCGTTTGTGGTCTTACGGCTGCAATAGCACCCTGTACAATATAATAACTATTCATACTAATTCATACTATTATTGATGTTATTAAGTAGCCTGAAAAGGCGGCTAGGAATAAGGCTCGCTTAATTACAAACAACGGAAGCAATAAAACTCTTGTTTTTTTTTAATATATACTTCGCCATTTTTATACACTGAAGTAACAACATTGTGCGCATGAACCAAAAAATCATAACAATATCTTACTGACTAATGAAATTGCTTATTACATATAGAAAAACGTTGCATCTAACTAGGAAACTTTTCAAAAGTTTCCAGTTTTGTTTGGGACAGGATGTGCCCAAACAACTATATTTACATGCTTGCTTACACTAATATGGAGAAGAACATTGCTAATATCTTCTCTTACAAAAATGGTGAAGGGTTTCTTTCACTGCCGTAGCTAAACATTTATGTGAGTGAATGCATGACTATGTTGTGGGTTGTCTTTGAGGACGCTTCCTTAAACAAGACAGCTGGTGTGCATATTGTTTTAGCGTATTTTTGATAAATACTGCCATTTTATATTGTGCTTCGTATATCAATAGATTCGCGAGGCTTGCAAATGTTGCTATAGGAATGCGTAGGATTTACCTGAAAGTGCGCATATTTTTAATCCTATGCAAAAAGTTTGGTGCTTTGTTCAGTTTAAAATTTTTAATCAATATAAAATTACGGTAGATTGTTTATCAAAGAGCCATATCCCAAGTTAACTTTTCTTCAATTAAATGCGCTTTGGATATTTAAACATATCTTAATGTAAAACAAATTGCCCTCTTTTGTTTACAGAATTGAAGAACTCTATAGAAACTCAAGTGAACGAACTTAAGACGCAGATTGAAAGCAAATGCTCGCTCCAGTGAACCCGTACCCAGGAAGCCCCGAGCAAACCAGAACCAGCAAAGAATCGTCGAGATTTCGAGGACAACCGTCTGCCTCCAGCGGTGCAACTGCCCTTGCTCTATGGCATTACTAATTTAAAAACACCCAACCTACTCTCACACATTGAAGACAGAGAAGCGCTGTTACTTTGAATTTTATTCCCATTATATAAAACGTGTTAATTTTGAATTGAAAAGTCATTAAATCATTTTATTTTAATTTACTAATTAATAAGTGTTCATATTCAAAAAGAATTTAAATGATTTAAGTTCTGTTCAACTTTTGTTGTTAGAATTGGACATAAATCATAATTTTTCATTTGTTGTGCGTTTCGCAACAAACGTTGTTAGAAATTTAGAATTGTTAAGAGAAAGATGATGTTTGTACACTTTTGTATAAGATATACCATTAAAGCTGTAATTGTAACAATAGTTGGAGTTGATGGTGCATATTAGATGTATCGTGGTGATGCGAAGGCTGTCAAAATCCCCAGCGCGTTGTTTTTGTTTTGTTATGTGACCACAATGTTTGCAGCCGCATAAAATAGAATTTTGCATTGTTGTGCATGCCCGTTTAGAAAAGCAGCATATTTCTATAAATGTATTTTTCAAATGTCAAACCAATATTTTCATAGAGTTTCGTTGTGTCATAAGTATTCAATGCTCAAAACGAGTACTCAGTTTGATTTGTGGATTTTGTTATTGGTAGGCAAGGAAGGGGCGTGATCGCAGATGTGTTGAAGGCGAAATCACAATCAAGACACTGCTGTGCTGCAGTATGCAATTTGTTTTTGTTGCTAAGCTGTTAAAATCTGCATAAAGAACGACTACGACTGGCAAAAATGTGTGGATTCCAAGCGATTTATCTGTGAGAGGGCAAGAGCTAAGATTGAGGATAAAATCGTCTTACTTTCGGTGCCCGCCGTCTTGTTCTTCCACGTGATTATTTTTCCTGTTGCAGGTGTAACTTATTGGATTTGACTTTAAAGGCTTGAATATGTAATAAGCTACGGTGTGATGTCCATACGTAAACAGTGACTTCACTTTTTGTTGAGTTTATTGCCAATTTATGTTTTATTAATTTAGTAGGTTAAGGAAATGAATGACTGCTAAGCTAAGGTGAGTTTGAGCCACTAGGAGTCGGCGCATCACCGGGACTGTGGTGCTAACAACGAAAGCAGTGCTCAATGCGTGATGAAGATTGAAAAACAAATAAACAAATGTTCACATACCCACTGTTTAGCTGCTTTAGCTTCTCCAATAAATTAATTTTGTGGGCGGTGTCAAAAAACTATGAAGCATTGCCAAGAGTTAAAGGCACTGTGGTGATGCTGCTAACATTGTTGCATTTCGCGTTGCGACTGGGATCCGGATCTTACTTTCCTCTATGTCTTTTTTTCTGGCCTAAGAGCCAGAACTTTCACACTTATCAAAATAAACTAGTAACAAGACTTACGGCAGTACTAGTCGCCACTGTAGGGTTAGTGGCGGTAATTGAAGCAATAAAACGCATGGAATAACTCCAAGGCAATGTTTTATATCAGTGAACTGCTTGTTGGCGGGAAAATGTTTCACCGTCGCCTGTTTTCACGTGCTCTTCCTTTGAAAAATCTGCCTGCGGCAAAATCCTGTCATTTCTGTGATTTCCTATCTTTCGCTTTGTATGCTTGAACTAAGCGCGGCAACAATGCGTTGTGCGATTCTACGTCTATGCCACACTCTTTCTATTTTAAATCTTATCTTTCTCTTAATAATGAAGTAATAATTAAATGCGTGCATAAATATTTCTCCACGTTTGGTAAAAACAAGTAGAGTTTTCCTTTAACTTCTCTGACTGCGATGACATTGACTGACTGACGGAACTTACAACAATGGTCGACCGGGGTCTTCTCGTAAGGGTGCTGGTAAACCCGTTTCAACAGCTTTTTGAATCGAGCCTATTTTGCCTGTGAACGATGTCAATTCAGAATAACTTATATCAGCATTCCATTTTTATTTTAACTGCTCTCTAATTTATTTTCATGTATTCATTGCATATTACTATTCACTTTGTATATATCTCTGTATTCTATTTTTTTCCACAATGTCCTGAGAACACAGCCCATTTTCCGTGTTATAAACGATGAAGATATTTTTTTTGGTTGCGTTATTGTGTGTATCGTGGTTTTTGTCTAGTATGCATTTATAGCATGCTACGAATTGTTGCGATATACAATGAAAGCTTTAGCAGCGTGCTCGCAAAATACAGTAAGCCGTAAAAAGTTTAGCAAAATCACATAGAGTGAAGTAATATAGGTTGTAGCAGTATAAGAGACACTGTTGGGAACCCCTCACCTTACACTAAGCGGACTAAACTGAATATAGACGTGCAGTCATCTTGAAACTCTGTCCTGTCCTTTCATCTTTTCTTCCGAGTGCTTTACTCGTGTTATCTTTCATTTCAACCACACTCTATTTATTTACCCGGTATCCTGGTACTAATAACAAATTTTCTCCTACTCAAAATAAAGGATCTGGCTTGTGAACCAAATCTGTTAACATAGTTGTCAAAATCTCCCTTAATGTAATAATATGATGGCGAAGACGATCGTGTTGCTCATCTTAATAAACCAGAAAGGTGGAGTTCTAATTTAATTCCCAGTTTAGTGTTGTAAAGTTTACATATTGCATGTATCAGTATGTATACTTGTTCACTTATGATAGTCGTGACAAATACTACTTGTATTTTGGCGGTTGTCTCCACGTGTCTTTTAAAGTATTGTTCACACTTGTAAGTTAGAATAAAGTTATTAATTGTTGATATATGAATGAATATATTGAAGAGAGTTGTTGTATGCTCCCTCCGTTTGTTTCGATTTATACTGCCCTGTCTATCTTTTCCACTTGTGCTGACAGTTTGGAGTTTGAAACCTGAACAAATTCCGGTTTTACATTCATTAAAAACGTGTGATGTAAGCACTTAATGGAAGTAGAAAATTATAAATGGCTGAACGAAGTGTAGATTAGCATTATAATCATAGAGAGAAAAGTTTTAACGTCAGCCTGTGTAGCTTACGCTTAACAGGTATTCTGCGGTAATTTTTAAAATTGAAGAAACCTCAAATGGAAAACTAAGTGCGAAAACCCAAAGCTTAAAAATGCCCAACCTAATATACAAATATGCAAAGCAGGGAAAAGTGCGATTGGTGGTTTTACATAATAGGCCATTTCCTGGAAGAGTAATTGGTGTGCATTTGGATGTGTACTACAACGCTGTCAAATACCGGAACCTTTCAAACTTTTCTCTATTTGATTCTCTGCAACTTTGCATCTAAATGAGTTATAAAATGTTGCTGTGATATGCGCCGTAGTGTTTTCCAAACAGGGTTTGCAGTGGGTGTGTGTCCTCGTTTCTTGTAACCATATCGGAGTCATGGTGTTTCGTGATAGTGGATGCTAAGACAACGACGGTAAATTCGTTGAACGGTGTTTTAAAATTGCTGAGAAATTGCTAAGCTAGCCAAAAAATTATTTGGCATGATTTGCTATGAATAGTTGACTGCTGTAAATGCCCAGACATTATTTCTATTGTTGTTATCACTACTGATGTTGATAAATAATTTTTCCCATACATGATGTAAAATTAGATTGTAGTTTAGGAAATCTTCAAAACTGTAAATTTTACCTTTACAAGTGGAAAACGTGAGCAAACACAAGAGATGTAATGTAGGGAGCCTGTTGGTTAAATAATAATTGTTGTTAAACATAATTAAGATTTTGTGTTTTTTCGTATCACTTTTCTATTGAAATTTTCACAGTCCCGTACATTTCCCGCCCAACCCCCTACCAACACATACTATTATCAAGACTATTATTGTCGTGAACGGGGTCAAAATATTTCATTGGATGAGCGATGGCAAAAGCCCATACTTGCGAAATGTCCAAACACTTTTTATGTCTGAATGCGTGCCCGTGTGTGTGAATGAGGCGTGTTACGGCAGGATGCGATCTGGCGTACCCTTGCCCCGTTGAACGGAAAGCCAATCAAAGAACCCAATTAAAAATGAATCAGTAGCAATGCAAGCTATTTGCCACACTACCTACACCTGCATCCCTCTGAGGACAGCTTGGGACGCGACGCACCAACAATTTTCAAATGGCGAATACACTCTACTGCAAGGGGAAGCCCCGGCGCCACAGCCCCCTGCGTACAGCTCCGTCATCATATGGATAGACTCCATGTCTCGCAACCGAGGGGTATCACCGGCGGGCAGGGGCAGAAAGGGGGAGCCCACGCCGTTACTCCATGTCAGGAGAACGAGACGCCCTTGCTGTCCATACCCCGCGCACGCTGTGTTTCGTGGGGCATTGACGATAGTCCGTCCCCCTTCCCCTTTTCTCCCAGCCGGCGGGCGGTGCCGGTGCCCAGCAAGGGGCCACTACATTCACCGAGCACCGAGCCGTCTTTCGAAGTCAACGTTACTGTTCATTAATAAAAACGTAAGACAAAACATTTCAAGGCAGGCTAAAACAATGGAGCATGGGCTGCAAAGTAAGATTTAAAAAAATGCGGTTTTGTCTGAATCGGCGTTTCTTCTCAATGTCCTTGTCCGCGTTCTTGTGACGCCTATGAATTGTGTCACGATATTAAACGTTCCGCGTTCCGCTCTCTCGGCTACGCTTTTCAACAGAAAAAAGTACTGCTCTGTTGCGGCTCGATTAGGAGCAAAGTTCTTTTCCGTTCGAGGGGAAAACTTTTTATGACAAAGTTGGGTGGTGGCGCGCCATGGCGGTCCGCGGCTTGACTCCAGTCACTTCCCCGGTGGATCGGTCCATCCCAGTGGACGGCGGGCGGCTCACAGTGGGCCGGAAGACCGGGGGAGGTGGCCAAAATCCCGGACGGGTTTCCAACTCGATTCGATAAATGGGACCAGATCAGAACGTGTTATCCCACCAATTGACAGCTCTACGAACGAGGAATCCATTCATTGGTGTGGTCAGACGCTCGGTTCTAGTAATCTTTAGTGACACTGGAGCTCAAAACGGGTCTCTGGCCGCCGGCGCCGGTCTTTTGGCCCACTGTGCGGCATACCACGTGGACCCGGGCCTCGGCTCGGCGAGTTTTGGATACACTTCAAGCGAGGCAGGGCACTGCGGCCAGCGCGGCCCTGGAACTTCCGGTTTGAGTCTCTTGTTTGCATGCAAACGCACAGCGCGGCATCGCACGGAAGCACACATGGCGGTGCAAGGCGCGCTGCTCTCACTTTTTCTTACAGCGCGGCTCATGATGGCATTTGCAATGCTTTGTAGCGTGTAATGGGATATCGGACGGACAATGTGCGCATCTTGCTCATTGTTTGGCGTCGTGACAATGTGGCCACACCGCCACGCCCCGCCGCTGCGACAACACCGCGACAACACACGCGGCGCCGTGTGGACACAGTTCTCCTTTCGAGCGCTGAGAAAAATCAACAGTAAGTTCCATTCATTTTTATGCCAGCTCTTTACAGGAGTACAGCAGTTTCCCGCCCAAAACCCCAAGAGCCTGACATGTTGAAAGGAAAACCCCATTCTAAAACTCGATTTTTCTCGGTGAGTCGATCAAAAAACGTGAGGTGTTTGGATTCAAAATAAAAATTTTATGAGCCCTCAAACCTGTTCAAAACGTCCAAAACGACATTTTGACGATTCGGGCCGTGGGACCAATTTTGACGGTGGAACAAGTTGTGGTGGAGGTAAAACAAACGAACTACAACACCAACACGAAAAGGGAACAGAAAGGGACGCGGTTTGCGGGTTGGCCCGTCTCGCCGGGTGTGCTTGCTTTTAAATTCATGGCCGCGTAGCCCCATCTCGAACAACTGTGTGTGTGGCAAGGCGCCTTCTCTCCCAGCAAAGTTTGCCAATGAGGTCCTCCACTCCTCCAGCACCTGCACAGAAGGCAGATCGGCGCGTTTGGACGAAGTTGTGAGTAGAATGGTGTTTGTAATGGGAGCCTCACTAGTTTGAGTAATTTACTCCAGTACGTTGCCACACATTTTGGATCAATTGTGGCACACTTCGGAAGATGCCAGAGGATGCCTTTTCCCTCATACAGTCGTTAATTTATGACGTATTCACGTCTATCACATCATCCTCTTTATAGTCAGTCATGTTTCATGTCATTTGTCACCCTCCTGTAAGCAACCCTTCAGTCAGCCGTTTACCCCCAACACTACCATTATGTCCAGCTGTAAGCAAGTACAGCTGCGTTCCTGTCAATCTCTGTCCAGAACTTGGTGAATAAACGTGTCTACAGAAAGCCAGTCTCCTCTTAAGTTAAGCCCTCCGAAGAATACAATACACTTTGGTCGAATAACAGTACATTCGTAAACTTCCGATTATGACCGACGAAAATGTGGAGAATCTTCACTGTACAGCATTTAGAGTGTGTCCACGACGACCATACGACTCCTGGGCCCACGTGGCCCCGGCGCTTTTCCCGCCCTTCTTGGCCTCAGAGTTTACGGGAACCCTTTTCTGCACACTGCGCGGCCCACGCTGCGCCACGCTGCGCGGCCCTGGCCCTACCCTCCGCCCCGGCCGCACGCTCAATGCGCGGGCCTCCTTTCATGAATGTGCGCCTGGACGTGCCACCGCCAGCTGTTTACCGCCGGCTGCGGCGGCGGGCCGCGGCTAGAGGCCCTCGCGGTGCCTCGGCCAGACCTCCGAGAGTCGCTTTCGTCGCTCTGTCTCTCTCCCACTCGCGGGGCGTCCCGCATCGGTGCGAGAAAGACACAGCGACGAAAACGACTCTTGGAATCAGTCTGCTGGCATGCATGCCGCAGAGGGGCCCCACATCGATAAGGCTTGGCAGTGTAACAGTGCAGCCTGGCTGCTGTACTGCTCTCCACGGGCCGCGCTGGCCGCGCTGGCCGCCCTGGCGGAGAGCTTGTTTTTCTTGAGGTAGTTTCAAGGAACTTCTAGGTCCAGATTCTCGCGCTGCCGAAACTGCCACGGCCGCGCTGCTTGAGCGGGCCGTGCAGACAGATTCCGAGAGTCGTTTTTCGTCGCTCTGTCTCTCTCGCGCTGATGCGGCGTCCCGTACAGGTGCGAGAGAGACAGGCGGCTCGCGGAGTCAGTCCGCCGCCAAGCGGGCCCCCGGCCTCGGCCCGGCGTCGCCGACTCTGTTCCAGCCGGCCTGCCGCCGGCGAGCGGCTCGGCGTGGGTGGTGGGGGGCGTGCCGTGGGGGGCGGCCTGGCCCCAGTCGACGAGCAGCGCTGGCCCGGCGTGGACGCCCCGTCACGCCCCGCCGCGCCCCGCCACGCCGCCGACGAGTCGCGTGTCGCGTGCCGCGTCGAACAGGTGTGACGAGCATGTGAGCCGGCCCGCAGCCTGGAGCGAGGCTAGCGAGGCACCGCAGCGGACCGGAGGGGACCGGAGGCAAGATTGACGCGGTCGCCGCCGACTCGGCGCCACTGGTAAGGACGCGCGGCGACGACGAGAATCACTTTCTTCGCGTCTGTGTACACGCGGCCAAAGACACACAAAACAGTCACGGAGCATCTCGGTACACCTCGCCTCGCGGGCCGCCGCACAGTTGGCCACAAGACCGGCGCCGGCGACCGAAACTCAACACGCGTTTTGATCTTCATAGTCGCTAAACAGGACTCGAACCGAACGCGCGACCCCACTAATGGATTGCTCTCCGAACGAGGAATCCATTGGTGGGGTCACACGTTCGGTTCGAGTCGTGTTTGGCGACTATGTAGCTCAAAACGCGCCCGGGATTTTGACCACCTCCACCGGTCTTCAGGCCCACTGTGTGCCGTGCGGCCGCGGGCTGCACCTCGCCGTCAACAGCGGCGTCCTGTCACCCCGGCAGAGACGAGGCAAGCGCGCTTCAGTCTCGACTCGGCCACTTCACGTCAATAGCCTCTCGTCTCTTTCGCGACACGGCGCGTGCTGAAATATGCGAGGCCCCTGGCGGACCGATTCCGAGAGTCGATTGCTCTGTCTCTCTCGCACTCATGGGGCGTCGCGTACAGGTGAGAGAGAGAGAGACAGAGCGGCGAAAACGCCTCTCGGGATGCTCCTCATGCAATTCGACACAAGGTGGCGCCTCGCGGCGCCTCCGCTGCCGTATAATTTCACACGCCCACGTCGTCCACGCGTCGCGGAGGCAAAAATAAACTGCGAGCGGAAGACAGCGGGGGTCGGGTTCCCTGCTGCTTATTTTTCCCCCGTTTGGCCTTCTTTGCCATCAGAGAAGTGCAGCGCGCTGCAGACAACAACGTCGTCGAGGCCGTGTTTTCTTTCCAGGAACCAACCCCCTTCACGGCGCACAGTGGGCCAGAAGACCGGTGGAGCCGGACAAAACTCCAGACGCGTTTTGAGCTGCAGAGTCGCTAAATGGGACTCGAACCGATCGTGTGACCCCACCAATGGATTCCTCTTTCGGAAAGCAATCCATTGGTGGGGTCACACGTTCGGTTCGAGTCCCATTTAGCGACTCTGGAGCTCAAAACGCGTCTCGAGTTTTGTCCGCCTCCAACGGTCTTCTGGCCCACTGTGCGGCGCCTCGTGCACTCCGAGGGAGAGGCTATCCCGGCCGTTGTACCACGTGTCAGTCAGTGTGTCAGTCATTGTGTCAGTCAGGGTGTCAGTCAATGGGAAGCTCTCCGAAGTAGTTGCCCTGTCAGCGCGTAAGTGGACAGCGCCAGCTCGTGGTGCGCAAGGCGTTCGCCACCCCCTGGCTGCTCCACTCTGCCGTCGAGCCGCGCCTAACCT